TACAAAGTCAAAATGTCCTTCAACAACAGCAACAGTCGAGCCATCAGCTTCAAAGGAGCCTTTCTCAAAACTTGCAGCCTTCGCAGCCACAACAACAGCAGCAACTTATGTGTCAGAATTCACAGCAGAATTTATTGCCATCCCAGTCCCAGGACCCTATTAGCCAAAAGTTGAATTTTTCTGAGAACCCAATCCAACTTCAACTTCTACAGAAGCTCCATCAGCAACAGCAATCTTTGTTGGCACAGCAATCTGCAATGCAGCAGCCTTCTCAACTCACCCAACTTCATGATCAACAAAAGCCACTCCTGGATGCACCTCCGAGCTTTTCCAGGTCGTTGACGTCCAGTCAGATACAGGATGTATCCCAACCAATCCCCACCTCTATCCCACAGTCCCATGTTATCCCACAACAGATAACAAGAACCAATAGCCAAAATAATCTCCGCTTCAATCAACGGACTCAGCAACCAAAGCTTCAGCAGCAGCAATCTGGAGTGGTGCCTGAAGTCCATGGGCACGTTGGACACTCACTAACTGCAACAACCAATCATCTCTCTGCCGCTGGCAGCAGTTTACTGACAGGGACAGCTGGTGGAGGCCCTTCTGGGATCACTGATGATATTCCTTCTTGTTCAACTTCTCCATCCACAAATAACTGTCCAAATGGAGTTCAGCCAAGCATGAATGGCAGGACACACCGTGGTACAGCAATGGGGGATGAGATTGCCCAGCCTTCTGCGGCCCTGCTAAGTTCTAGTGGCCTAGAAACCATGTCTGCTAGTGGTAACTTAGTTAAAGATTTGCTGCAAAAACCTGATGTTAAGCCTTCATTGAACGTCTCCAAGAGTCAGAACCAAGGATTTTTTGCTCATCAAACCTACCTTAATGCTTCAGGAGCACAAATGGAATATTTGGATACTCAATCTTCGGCAACTTCAGTCTGTCTTTCTCAAAATGATGTCCAGTTACCACATGGAACCAATCAAATGTCTTTCAATTCTCAGCCAGTGTTGTTCAGAGACACGAGTCAAGAAGTTCAGGCTGATCCAAGAAATAATGTTTCTTTCGGGGCTAACATTGACAACCAATTTGGGATGGCAATGATGCCCGATTCTGTATCTACAAAGGGAATGTTGGGATCTGGTAAGGACTTCTCAAGTAATCTTGACGCTGGAGGTGGAATGATTTCCAGCTATGAGAATCCCAAGGAAACTCAGCCTGAGCTTTCATCATCAATGGTTTCTCAGTCATTTGGAGTACCAGATATGACATTTAATTCAATTGATTCAGCCATCAATGACGGTAACTTCATGAATAGAGGTCCCTGGGCTCCACCACAGTTACCTCGCATGCGGACATATACCAAGGTCTGTTTTCACTGACATATACTTTCTTCCGCAGGGTGTTTAACTTTCTTATGCTGAATAGTAAGTGCTTGTGCAGGTTTATAAACGTGGAGCTGTTGGGAGATCAATAGATATTACACGTTACTCAGGCTATGAAGAGCTTAAACAAGATCTAGCTCGAAGGTTTGGCATAGAGGGGCAACTGGAGGACAGGCAAAGGATAGGTTGGAAACTTGTGTACGTGGATCATGAAAATGATGTTCTGCTAGTTGGTGATGACCCTTGGGAGTAAGTCTATAAACTTGAACTATTGAAGTTGTTATTTTCTGTTATTCACTACTCATTACGTTTTGCTTCGTCTTTGCTGTGGTTAATCAGTATGTTGTTAGTCATGACAAGGCTTTTGCTAGTTGAAGTAAGTCCATGGTTAATCAATTTATCCTTTCTCTTTACAATTAATCTGCAACTTCTGTTTGAAATTCAAATCCCAAGTATTAGCTTACCGAGACTTGTTCTTTCCTGTGTTTCTGCCCTGTAATACCATAACTGATTGATCAATTGATTTCCAGACACCATTGTTGATATGTGGTTTTCATATATATATATATATATATATATATATATCCTCACAAAGACTTTCTTTGCCTTCAGGGAATTTGTGAACTGTGTCCGCTACATTAAGATTCTTTCTCCTCAAGAAGTTCAGCAGATGAGCTTGGATGGAGATTTTGGGAATAGTGTCCTCCCAAATCAAGCTTGTAGCAGCTCAGATGGTGGGAATGTGTAAATTAGCCAGCTAGAGCTTTAGCAATTCTTCTTCATTGGTTGAAGCTTACCGTTTAAGTAGTAGAAGTTTGTTCTCTTCGATGTGCCGGGGAATTCGATGCCATGGGTATTCCTTCTCACCTTGCTTATGCCACGGTCTAAGTACAGCTACATCAGGCTCAGAGGAAAGAATTCATGCCTTTAGTGATTTAGCCTGTTTTTCTTGAACTTTGGACCCGGCTGCAAAGTAATAGCTTGGAAGATGAAGTGGCTGAGTTTGATCTCCTTTTGCAAGAACATCCAAGAATTGGGAAGTATGAAAGCTTCGATGCAATGGTGGAAGTTCAGATAAGAATCCATTCTGGCGCTAAGTGAAGCTTTCCAGAAAATCTTGTGATGTCTATCATCAAATTTTTCTGTCCCCTATATTGAAAAATCCTCCCATAGAGTTGTATTGTAGAGAGTAAAAGCTTGAAATCTGTATGGTTTAGTCTCTTGAGTGTATAGATGTGTAGATTTTTCCTATAACCCCCCCATTAACAAAAACTGGTAAGAATCTCAGAAATTCTGTGAAGAGTAGTGACATCTTAGAGTATTCAATCCATCAGCCCCTCGGTTCACAGTGGCTTCTACCAACTCTTGACCCGTTGTATCCTTTGTACTTGAGTAAAATCATGCATGATCTGCTAAAGTCCAAAGAGAACCTCACAAATGACAAAGCTAACAATTCGGAAGTCAAATGACAATCTGTCCAATATTAAACTAAAGTAAATGTTAAAAAGAACAACACACCTTTATTTTCAAGTGGGTATGATAATTTGGTGTTGTAAGGCGAAACTCATGTTCGCATTAGAGGTAGCTAAAATATCAATGATCAATGGTAAATTTACAGCATTTTTATGGATCTAAAAATAAGCTAATAAAAGAACAAAAGAAATAGATAATTGTTAACAGATAAAAGTTGCTCACTTAGAACCTTTACATATGTAATAAAAAATAATCATCCCTAATGCAACTGACAACCGTTTGAATTGGCCATTTTTTCAGAAAACAAGTTTTTCAAATACAGTATTACAGTAATACACAATAATTCAAAAAAAAAAAAAAACTCATTCATACAATATATCAATTATTTCAAAAAATTTTTTATATACACTGCTACAATAAAATTTAAAAAAAACAGCTAATCAAAATGGAGCGTTTGGTAGATTATCATTCAGATTACTTGAGTTGAGTTCGGAGTTTCTCATGTCTATCGAGATAGGTGAATCAAGTAATCATCTATAGTGTTTTGAAAATTTTAAAACTCATGAATTCTTATTGACTGTGAAAGCTTATTATGACTATGAATTTCCGCAGGAAAATGTTCTAATTCTTTACATGTGAAATGTGATGTGGTATCTAGTTTTTATTTTGTTCTTATATCTGAATTTATTTTAGATCTAGTTGTCAGATCTGAAAATTTTTTGGGACTCGAGCGACTGATCTGGCGATTGCAAGACTCAATTAGGACCAAAATCTCCCGAATTGTCAACCAACAAAAGAATACCAAGACCAACCCTCACAGTGGTCTAGTTCTTTGTGTTTTGAGACAACAGACACCCCAAGAACAAATTCTCGAATTTAGAGTTCTCTATCGCTTGTTAGCATATCAAAAATGCAGTGGAAGATATTTGACACATAAAAGTATGTGGGGGAGAAAAAAGGAGTTTATTAATCACATCCGACTCTCATATTGAGGCCGACATAAAATCTTTGCAGAATTACCTTCACAACGACCAAGACTCTTGATAATGTTTTTATCTCACTTTTTTTCAATTGAATACAATAATATAACAGCAATATATAGCACACTAGACTAGGTAATTAAGAAACTACCAAGACAAGAAATTACCAAACAACTACAATATACCTTAAAAAGTAAACTACTAAATTTGATTAAAACAAGAACTTCTCAATTAGAAATAGGAAACATCAGCTGTTACCAATGATGCCAATTATAGTGTAGATTGTGTGTTTACAGTAGTGAGTGTAGAAGCATGACACTTGTTGGAAAAAAAAAATTTAATTTGCATAGAGGATATTATCGTACATTTAAATCTGTTAGTATAAAAAATTATTACAATTAAAATATAATATATATTAATCCAATTTCTAATAGCAATTGATTCTTATTTAGGGTTAATTCCACTTTATCCTCTCAAACTTTGGACGATTATCCACTTCAATCCCTAAACTTCAAAATGGGACACTTAAGTCCCTAAACTTATAAATACCCCCAATTAAGGAAAATTGTTGACAGAATCCTGAATGCCGTTGGTGGTCGAAGTGTCCCATTTTATAAGTTTAGGGATTTAAGTATCCCATTTTATAAGTTTAGGGACTTAAGTGTCCCAATTTATAAGTTTTAGGGACTTAAGTGTCCCATTTTGAAGTTTAGGGACTAAAGTGGGTAATCGTCCAAAATTTGGGGGTACAAAGTGGAATTAACCCTCTTATTTATAATAGGTACAAATGACCAAAGTAAAAACAAAACACTATCACAAATTTTTGCTTAAAATCCGAGTCTACCACTTGTTTGCCTACTTATTGAGTCTAGAATTAGGATATAAATATGATGAAGGAAGAATGAATATGCATTAGCTTGATCATTGACTACCTGTTTTTTTTTCCCCACTCTATTTTTTTTTTTAAGATGTAACTTGTAACTTTTCATAAGAGTACTTGATCTGTCAAGGGTGAAGCAAGCCAATAAAGAAAGTGACAGAAAAAACATGGTCTATATAATTGTTGACAAGTGAGGTAACATCATAGAAGAAATGGAAAAACAGCAGCAGAAAGGTGTAGCATTTAGGTTAGTCAACTTCTGCAGTTAGGCCTAAGAAATTATATGCGACTCTTCTTCACTGATCCCAGCTCCGTTGCCTTGGCCCTCAACAAATGGTTCTGCATTTTTCCAGTTGCAGTCTTTGGCAATGGTCCAAATACCACAGATTTTGGAACCCAATATGCAGGCATCTTTGATCGACTGAATTTCATTATATCTTCTGCGAAGCTCTTTTGATCAGATTTTTCCAAGTCTCCCTTTAACGTGACAAATGCACAAGGTGACTCACCCCATTGCTCGTCCGGTCTTGCCACCACTGAAACTTCCAATATTGCAGGATGTTGATACAGCATATTCTCTACTTCAAGACTACTGATGTTTTCACCTCCAGATATAATGATGTCCTTCGATCTGTCCTTAATTTCTATGTAACCATCTGGATGCTTCACAGCAAGATCACCAGAATGAAAATATCCATTTGCAAAAGCCTCTTGATTGGCTTTGGGATTTTTCAAATATCCCTTCATCACAGCGTTACCTCTGAAAACAATTTCTCCCATTGTGGTTCCATCAGCAGTAACGGGTGTCATGCTTTTTGTGTCGACAACATCGAGGCCTTCCAAGGCAATGTACTGCAAACCTTGTCGAGCATTCAATCGCGCTTGGTTTTCAGGTGGCAGCAAATCCCATTCAGGTTTCCACACACATATGGTGGAAGGACCATATGTTTCTGAGAGGCCATAAGTGTGCGTAACGCGAAAGCCTCTTTTAGACATTGCAGAAAGAACAGAAGGGGGTGGAGCAGCGCCGGCCGTCATTACATGTACAATACGAGGGAGAGGGAGGATGGTCTCTTCTTTTCGAGCATTCACAATTGTATTGAGCACCACTGGAGCAGCACAGAAATGTGTGACGCCAAGATTGGCTATGGCTGAATAGATTGCCTTTGCTGTTACCCATCAAGATTAAATCACAAAAGATTAGTAAAATAAATCAGGCAACGGGTGCCTAATTAAGCAACAGGGAACATTACCTTATTCTCAGCGGAGACAAGAAAATTTAACTATCAGAGGAAGATACCTGTCTAAGGCATACACTTGTTCCACACATAGCAGCCAGTGCCCAAGTGAAACACCAGCCATTGCAATGGAACATGGGAAGAGTCCATAGATAAACTGCCCCTTCTTTCATTCCCCATACAAGAGCATTACTGAGAGCCATCAGATATGCCCCTCGATGGTGGAGCACGACTCCCTTGGGACTCGCTGTCGTGCCAGAAGTATAACCAAGAGCAATGCTATGCCACTCATCTTGTGGTGGCTTCCATGCAAAGTTTGGGTCACCAGTTTCCAGAATTCTCTCATATTCCACTGCTCCTTTTGAAAGAGCATGTTGGAGTGACTTCGAATCGCAGGTTTTATCAGCAATAACAATAAGAAGAGGAGGCCTGAAGTTGCCTTTGCTCTTGTCAGACAAGATTTTTAAAGCTTCCTCTGCCAGGGAGAAAAATTCTTGGTCAACCATTACAACAGCAGCTTCTGAATGCCCCAGAAGAAATGCAACAGTCTCTGCATTTAGACGAATATTGACAGCATTCAGAACAGCTCCTGCCATTGGAACTCCAAAATGTGCTTCGTACATTGCCGGTACATTTGGTGCAATTACAGCAACCTAGTTTCATGAATCAGTGTAATATAATCAGTGGAAGTGATACCATTAACTCCACACAACTGAGCTGCAAGATACAGCAACAATTCAATCAACAACAACTCCGGACTTTGCACGATTTGCTACTCCTGAAATCAATTCCCTATTGATCCTGCTTTTTAGTTCTACGTAGTCAGCTGGAATTCAATTCTTTTGATCAATCAGGCGCAAGAAAAACTATAATTCTTCATTCTTTTCAGTTTGAAACTTTAGTGTACCAGTAGCATCATCTTTGCACCATAATATAGTATTTTGGCAAAGGATATGTGCCTGACTCTCAAGAATTTGAGGCTATTTACGTATCACTTTACTACATGTTACATTAACATCAAGAAGTGTAACGGAGTCATGAATTATAGCTTTTCTTTTTGTTCCCCACTCCACATTATCTTGAAAACATTAGCAATTGAAAGTCCACCATGTTAGTATAATTTTTCCATCCCATATTCGTCTACAATGTAAATCCTATTGCAAAAAAAAAAAATTGTAAATCCTCTTTGTTATGATACAAATGTCAGCATTATTCTTTTCACAAGCTTTCGTGCTGAAATAGTCTAAGTGGCCTACCAATTACAAGATATTCATTGTCAAGAAAGATTTCAAACTAAGTTAATGAGTTCATTAACAATAATTGATAAATGCAAATCCGAAAGTTCAATGCAGCTAATTTTTTTTTTCATTGTTCTCTTAATCCAAAATTATGTAATTAACAAAAATTGCACCTAAAATATAGTCAAATGGTTTTCAAATATAAACACTAAGAAAGTAAAGCAAAACCAAAAAGGGAAGAGCAGAAAGGATGGAATTACAGTGCTACCGAAGGTGACGGAACGTTTAATGAGAGCGGATGCTAATCTGCGGCAGCGCCGGTAAGTTTGGAGCCACGTGTAATGATCAGAGCCGTGGATGATAGATGTACGGCTGGGATGGACTAAAGCAGCTCTCGCCAGGAAGCCAAGTGGAGTAAAAGCTGTATAGTTGGCTGCATTCTTTGGGAGATGGTCAATATCTTTCTCCTCTACACCCATGGCTTTCTCCCTCCGGTTAGTATGTATAGACTAAACGACGCCGCTTGGTTGGAGAGTGTTGTAATCGAGTCGAGTCGAGCCCGAGTATCGCCATACTCGAGCTCGATGCTTGCTCGCAATACTCGAGCTCGACTCGCATGGGCTCGAGTCCATGCGAGTCTTATCGAGTTCAGTCGAGCTCGAGTTATTAAAATTCATTTTCTTGATAATTTTTTAGCGAAAAGACATTATTGCCCTTTTAAAATTTTTATATGATTTGAAATATTTCGTAAATTCGATAATTCTTTTGGGTATAAGAGTAATTTTATAATAATAATATATTAAATAATTAAAATTAAAATGCTCGATAAGGTTCGTCGAGCCTTCGATATCGCTTCTGGATGCTCGAACTCGACTCGATAACCTTATCGAGCTGCTCGAACTCGATTTGACCGAGTTCGAGTCAAGCTTTTGACCGAGCAGCTCTATTCGATTACATCCCTGAGAGTGAGTGGACTAGTAGTAGTGGATCAGCAGCAGAAAAATGCAGCTTAGTCTTGCTGTTATATAGGTGTTGATGCCCATCTTTCTTTTAATTGAAAATAGATAAACAGGATCTTGGAGAAATGTATGAAGACCTTTTTTTTTTTTTCTTTTTTGTTTTTTAACATTGTATGGAGACATTAGGTGTCCTGATTTTAATGATTTAATGACAAGTTACTATGTGCTTGCGAGAAAAGATACTGCTTGCTGACATGTCACGTGGTATACCATTATCAATTATCGATAATTAAGTAATTGTGATGAATTATACTCTATTTACTCTAAATGAAGTGTTATTTATAACAATCACTTGATAATATGTTATTAGAGATAATGCACGGTTTGAACATATACGTACTTTATATGATGTATCTAATATTTTTCGGTAAATAATAGGAAGGTAGAAGACTCTCAAGATGGCTATTTTTCACGCGAAACAAGTGAGAACCACTATTAATCCTTCTTTTAACAAAAAATAAAAAAATAAAAAGCTGTTTTTTTAAGGTTGGCATGGCTAATTTTTTTTTAAAGTTTGGCACATGTCCACTTCTGACTCTATCACACTTCAGAATTTAAAAAAAAAAAAAAAATCACATCTAGGGGGCAGAGTAATATTTATTTTGGTACTGTTAGTAGGAATTGAATAAGGGAGCTTGACCGCTGGACTCACATGGCTGATCATTGACTCATATGATGAAGAATCATATGTTGACATTTAACCATTAGAGGAAGTATATATATATATATATATATATATTTTGTCGACACAGGGGTGTTCGGGTCAATCCTTACGGGGCCCGACTAATCCCCTGCGGCTTGGGTCCGGCCCCCAACTCGGCCCGAACACGTTAAGTGCGCGAAGGAATCCAGCGAAGCGGAGACTCGAACTTGTGATCTTAAGGTTCACTGGTGAGAGGCGCTGCCGCTGGACCATTCACGCGGGGCTGAGGAAGTATATATATTATGGAGGAAGTTATTGTGTAGTCTGGCCAACGTTGATAGCTAAATGTTAGTGCTATTATTTTTGCATTCCAAAGCTTGCTTGCATGGTGGGGTTGTTGTGGCTAGACCCTGTAGGCAATGGAGGTCAGCACAGAGACTGTATGTTTAGATAAAAGTTTGAATTAATTCAGAAGTGTGATACGCTGCTGAGTTGTATGGTACTATGCATATAAATTCCATTTCCCACTCTCATGGAATTAGTTGTGTATCAAGTACTGAATAAGTACCCACAATCTGATCAATTCATGAAATATCTTGAAATTTATTTCATGTTTGCTAGTGGAAAATTGAGAAATTTCTGCTAGACAAGCGCATTTATCTCTATTAAAACGGTGCGTTGCGTTATGAAGCGTGAAATATGAGAGAAGGGGTGTCATGATTGGATGTTTTGAATAAAACGACCTTTTCATTTTTTCGTTTATATATATATATATAGAGGATAAAATACCAAAAAACTCCTTGTGATTTGCTAAATGTTCAATTGAACTCCTGTAGTTTAGAAACTTACACTATAATTCCCTGTGATTTCAACTAAATTAAAAATTGGACGGAAAGCATCCAATTTAACAGTTATATATGAAATGTCAATATTGCCCTTATATAAATGAACTTTCTACAGTTTGTCAAATGTTCAATTTAACTCCCTCTGATTTGAAAAACTATACTACAACTCCCTATGATTTCGACTAAATTAAAAATTGAATGAATAACACCTCACATATAGTAAGGGTAACATTGACATTTCACACACAACCGTTAGATTGGATGCTTTCTGTCTAATTTTCCACTAAGTCGAAACCACGACGAGTTAAAATGTAAGTTTTTGAATTAAAGGGAGTTAAATTGAACATTTAGCAAATCACATGGAATTTTTTGGCATTTTACCAATACATATATGCTAAGGCCAAACACAATCATCGAAGTCATTCAACAATGTCAGAACCAAAAATGCACTGTACAGTAATCTTCCCAAAAGCCTTCATTTTTAATTAGACCACATGCTAAAATATTTCCAAAGAACAACCACATGCTAAGGTGGTCTAGATGTATCAGCCATCCACACATCGAAGAGGGAACACAAGACTGCAATTAGATTCTGAACAAGCTACAGGACTTCAAGCTTTAATATTAAATAGGAAATAAGATATTGACTTCAAAGTTGCATGCGAAACTCAAAATGATTAAGAGGTTGATCCATCCAGTAAAGTGGCTAGATTTGCTGGATTGCCAGTTAAAAGTACATGAGACAACCTTCTTTCAACTAACCATTGGCTCAGGGTTAGATGTTGACAGAATATCCAGCAGTGACTCGTGGGGCTCTAATTCTTCATGCCAAAGGGGAAGCGAGTCACCAGGATAGAACTTTCTAGCAACTCCTTCGGAGTTAATCTGCAGAAAAGAAGTGTAGAACAAATGTTTTGGTAAGTCATCAGCAATGCATTTAGTGTGTCAAAAGGGAAACTAAGGCTCAAGATCTATATATTCTCTTCAAAATCAGCCATTGAAAAAAAGCATACTAGAATCCATACATTCTCATCAAAATCAGCCATGACAAAGATCCATTCATTCTCATCAAAATCAGCCATTGACAAAGATCCATACATTCTCATCAAACCTAGCAAGTTGCTTATGGTTCCAGAGAACAGAAAGAACAAATAGAGCAAATTTAATTTCTCAAAGAGTTGGAGTTGAAACCACTAAAGGTGTAAACCAAAATGAATTTAGCATAAACAAAATACGAAAACAAAACAATATCAGGCTGAAATAAGGTACTAAAACAACATAAATTAGGGGCCTGAAGTAACAAAAGCACAAGAACGCCATTAGATTATTCTCTCACGTAATTCCATCTCCAACTCCTTGTTCCGCATATAACATGCCAAATCCTAGAGACTTGGCTATATCCTTTTTTAAATGATTATTAAAAACTAAAACCGAGTATTCTTAAACAAAGATGATTATGTTTGTCAAAAAAGTTTACACTGCAATTTAATATTGGCTAAATGTGAAGGCCCATTGATGACCAAAGTACGTTGAATACAAACATAAGTAAAGTTGACGAGAATTAACTCACAGTCACAGTCCGAACTACACCCCCACTGGCACCATCTCGAGCAATGGCAAGAGAAACAGCTTTGACCACCAATTGCTGCACACAATCACAAACATGAGAAAGAAAACTTAAGCACATATGTACAAGCCGGTAAAATTAGGATTTCTGACTCTATTTCCCTGGATGAGAAAATCAGAGGAGCAGCAGAGAGGTTAAATGATATGCTACATTGCTAATACGATACAAGAAGCACATATCCACATATTTTCCAGTAAAATAATCTCAGCGCTCGGAAAACTGTGCTACACTTCATAAAGATTCCAATGGTCCCCAAAAAAAAAAGGAAAAAAAAAGCATTTTCAAATAAACAAAGTTTAGAAGAAACACAAAATATCAGAGAAAAAACAATTCCTAGGAAAGAAATATTCGGCCATGCGCAATTTTCATATAGGCAACCTTAAAATTCAACGTCATCTCAGAGATACATAAGATGACCAAATTTATTAAGCCTTAATGTTAGATTATTGCCAGTTCAGTCTTTTAACGACAAAGTTATCAACATCTACATAGATTTGACAAAGAACTTGAAACAATTACAAACCTCAGCTTCTTCTTGGGTCATCCCTTCCTTCCACGCTTGGTCAAAAAAACCATACAAATACGAAGAGCCCGATCCTGCACACACAAGTCAACAACTATCAAGTTAAAAACTAAATTACTAGAATTCAAATTCACCACATTCCTGAAATCAAATGCTAAATATAAGTATTCTCAAATAAGTTTTTTCCACCAAACTGATTGGCTTGCTTAGACCATGCACAACAATTTTTAAGAACCGTTGAAGGTAATATGATAGTTTAAGAAATGGGACAAAGTGCTCATGGTATTAGTTAATTGAAATTTAAGGAGATAGTGAGGAAATCACAGCACTTCTATCCCAACAGTTAACTGGCAGCAAATAATGCAGCAGGCCAGCATGAAAGGCTATTCTAACATATTGATCGAAGCATTAGCAGAAGAAAAATGGCATACCTCCAATAGCAAAAGGCTGTTCAATAATTGTACCTCCAAGAGGTACTCCATATATTTTACCTCCTTCATATTTGTCCCATCCACCCACAATGAGGCCAGCTTGTAGCATGTTCTGAAAATTTAGAATGCAACTGATGAACTAATCAGCTAAAATAGGTATCCATCTATAAAAACTTCAGGCGACAATGAAAAGCACATAACAAGTGTGATATTGAAATAAAACTCACGTGGGAAAAAGTTAATTCTTAATTTAATGAATATGCAGATCCAATATGACAGACATAATCATACATACAACAAAATTCGATAAACAATATAGATGGTGGTGATGACGCAGGTAATCACACAGAAAACAGTTAAGTCTAGGTTGTCTTTGATATTTAGCAAGATTCTCCAAATCCTACTTTGATACCTTTTCAAGATAGTGCGCAATACACAACATATGAGGAAAGGTGATTTTTCTAAAGCCAATAAATATTTAGCTTGACAGCAGATAAAAAAGAACTGAAAAAATAATAAACCAGCATCCAGACAAACCATGGGAAAGGGGTCCCACTACTGTCATTATAACTTCATTCTGAGCAGTTTTTCAAGCTAATCAAATATTCTTGAAATAAATAAAAGAACCCATTCTAGTTCATGGAGTAGAAACATAGCAGATTCAGTATGTTTCTTGCTTTCATTTGTCAAATCTTTTGAAGGTTACATCAGATGGCTCAAATGCAAACAAAACTAACTAACTGTGGTTTGTCAGATCATCATGACTCATCAAACTGTAACCAATTCATATACTGATTCATCAAAAGATGGTACGAATTCAGAAAATTAAATGGACCTTGTTATTATAGGCTAACAATCTGACAAGGTTTGCAGCAACTTTAACAGTTGTAGGTTGCCCAAGTTGTATCCTGGATCAATAATAATGCATAAAAATCAGAGAATGCATTAAAGATTGTAAAGTGGTAAGAGGTGAAGTTGCCTCCAGAATTCTAAAAATACCAACTTTAAACTTCTAGAGAAAGAAAGAGACAAATAATAATAATAATAATATTATAGTTTTCAAGGCACAAACTGTTTTTGGCAAATGTAAAGCATTGGTTCAATAATTAGTACAGCTCCAGAATAAA